GGTGAATTTTAATTGGAAATTACAACTTAAGCAGACAGCAACAAAAAATGACATCGTAACGATTTCTATTGTGACAAAATGCAATTAAAAAGTTAGGGTTGCTACCAAACAGAAAGAATCAATTGAATAAATCTAGACTTCAATATTTAAATCTATTTATTACGTTATTTACATTAGTTTTAAAACATAATACAGGCGTAAAGTTGGAGACATTCCGCGTTTTTCCTGATGAGTGTGGTGCCCTAATAGTCCCTTTTCCTTCCTACCCTTTTTCTTATAAGAAAAGGATGGAAAGGGAACGTGGATTTGACGGTGGAGGAGACGCATGGAAAGATAAAATATACTGTTTATATGCGTCTCCTCCTTTATGGGCAATGGTCGCTTCGCCATTTCGGCTAATTCAGATGGTCACTTTCTCGTTTGCCACTTTATGATATTAATAAAAACTTAATAAAATACAATACTTCGCAGATTACAAGAAATATTCGGTTAAACAATTTTGTACTAAAACTACTTTTGTATTTAATCGAGAAATAATTCTTTCTAGTTCACCTTATTCGTCTTATAATGTATCCGCATGCAAAATAAAGATATTTTACGTTATACGTTCATCAATCATTGTCGATCAGTGGAGCGAAAACTCAGAAATTGTGTTACTAACCAAACAGCTAATATAAAATAGTTAGGAATATTTTTCATCGCACCATTTTGTCCGTTGTATTAAATCCTTTTTTTAGTATCTTTTTAATGAACTTAATTCCTTCTCAAATAAAAAGAGTTAGCGTCTATTGACGGCTTTAATTAAAAAATCTTCAACTTGTTTTTCATTTATAATTAAGTAGTTTATTCATGGTAATGGTTAGCAAAATAAACGAATTATGTATTGTTTTTTTTAATATGGTTTTTATTTAATTCAAAGTATGCCTGTAGCATATTAGTTAGTGGTTTTTTTTACATATTTATAAATAATTGTAAAAAACATTAATTAAAAAAATGTTTAAAACTTTGTGACAACCGTATTTGTTTTACTAAAGCTAAACTGTTTGACATGATTTCAAAACATTATACGAAAAAAAAAACATGAATTAAATCCATTTTAAGAAGAAATTGTTTGATTTTTAATCTTTGATTTAAATATCTATTTATAGCTTACCGTAAATTTAGTTCTGCTTTAACAGAAAGACAAAAAGTTTATTTGTAACATATTTACATGTACTAAACAGTGTTAAAATCATTATGAGCTCACTATACCGTGGCTTAGTGGCTCGAAGCATACCCATAGAGTTTACTAGTCTATAGTCAACCACGCTGGTCCCAAAGGGGGTTGGTTGGCTTCACACTCACGTGTATGTATGTAGTTATATCCCGGTGCTTACTTTCACCGTAAGAACGTCGGGTAAAGTGTACTTTTAAAATACAAAAATGGAAAACACATTGGTTTGTTGGCGACTTTGAACCCAGGAACTGCAGATTACAAGTCAGTTGCTTAACCACTGAGTCACCGACGACGATCTTGAGCCAACACGATCTTGTGTTAAATAATTATGTTAAATTCTATTGATAAAAATAACATGTCAAAACATTCGAAAGTGAATTTTAAATTGTCTCTTATCAAGTGTTACAAGGTTTCATAATGTGTGTTAGGAGAGTATCGTTCTACAATATAATGTTTTGTTACTTTAAATAAAAACCTAATGAAATAATAGTTTTTTGTCTTTATTTTGTTATAGTCTATTTCATGTCTATTAGGGTCGAACACGACTGCCGAAATTACTTCCGTAAGAAATAATAACACTGTATAATACACGAAATAATAACACTATATAATACACGATTAGGACTGTGATTGTTATTGTACAATTTCTTTATTATTTTGCAAGTGTAGTTTTGTTTTATTTATTGTATCTGTAATATACGTAACTAGCTGTTCCCGTGCGGCTTCATCCGCATGAAATTTTGAAAATTATATATTTTATTTTATTGTTAACATTTGTCAAATTATCAGTAGCAAATGTCGAAATGACATGACAAACCTTAGCTATCTTTCTTTCTTGATGTTAGCAGCAACCTATGGTCTCTTTCCCACATTTGGGTTTTTATCCAAAATATTTACCCCCTAAGTTTAATGGCCTGAAAATATATAGCCTAAAGTATTACGTAAGTGTAGGGCTTTTTATTAAAAAGCGAATTATTCAAATTATGCTGTGATTGCTGACATCTTAGGCAACAAAGAAGTGTGTGTTTACGCTTTACTATAATAGTATAGATAATAATTCTACGGTAGCTACATTAGTTCTTAGAGATGGCAAAGATTTTCAATCTGATTAAAAAAAATAAAAGATTCACGGCGTATTTAATTTAAAACTATAGCAGTTTTACGAAACATTTCATCTTTACAAAAGCGACGGAAGAGTTAAGAACTGTAAGCGTCATTGAAAGAAACGAAATTAACAAGAACAGGCAACTTTAAGTTAATTCCAGTTGGAATTGCTTTCCAATAGATTTTCGCAATTACGTGGATGAAATTTGCAAGAACTTCCAGTAGTTAAGAAGCTGAGATAGTTAAGTTTTAATTCTGTCTGTTGATTTACATATGGAAATTATATAAAATCATTCTTACATAACGGGAGACAGAACTGATATGACAGTAGGATAAAAAACTTAATCTATACATTTAATAAAATTGGAGTGTCTGTTTGTAATATCAAAATAAAAAATCCAGATTTCGAGAAAATGATGTATTTGCGTTGCTGATAAAGAAAATCGGATTTAAAAAGTTTTGGCTATCTGTCTGTCAGTCTGTCCGCGACTGGGCCGATTTCAATCGCACTTTTACTGATGGGTAGCTGACATAGACGGGCATATTATAGGCTACTTTCTTTATCTTTAAAACTGCGTAGACAACGTCGCGGGCAATAGCTAGTCTATAATAAGTGAGTGAACAAAACTTTTTGGTACAAATAGTAGCATGAACATGTTGCATGATTTAAAATATTTACCTAATATGTGTATTTATTTTCAACTATGTAGTTAGATGTTATATGAAGTACCAATTCGTGTTATGTTTAATTTTTATTTAGCACATTTGACGCACACGAAGTCGAATATGCTAATTAAAACTAAAATATTATCAACAGTCATAATTCACTGGAAATACACACAAAATTGTACTAATGTCTATTTCAGTGAACTAAATAAACTATCATTTTACTCTACCGTGTTAAGAAAAAAAAAGTCAGGTAAAAATACTTGTATTAACGTAACGTGGTAAATCTTTTTAAGATTTTTATATAGGAAATTTAACAACCGTATTAAAAAGTAAACCATAACTAAAACTTTTCCTATGATGTTTGTCTCCTTGTTTTAAATTTATTAAAATGCTACTTAAGATCACCACATCACCAGCTCACTTTACATCCTTACTAAGAGGTTTGGAGGCTTTTCTGAGGGGTGACTAGGCCTTAGGGAACCACGCTGGCCTATTGCTGGTTGTTTAAATTCAAACTGATCTATGTATGTCTTTGCTGATATGTGCAGGTTTTATCACGATGTTTTCCTTCGTCGTAACATCGTCGGGTAAATTAAGTATACATTGAATTCAAAAAACATATTGGTACATGATAGAATTCGAACCCAAGACCTGTAGATTCCAATCAAGTGCTTAAACTCCTAAACCACCTACGGTCTCTTAACGCTCGCCTTATAATCGCAATTCGTCTTTAGTAACTATGTCAACATCTCCAGATATGGAATCAGACTGATCGACCTGTTATAGGTCAGTCGGACCTTGTGATCAGAAACATTGTAATTACCAGTAATTTTTAAAATATTATCGCTTCCCTCATTCGAACACTTGTGTGACAAGATATAAATATAAAAAGTTATGAATGTTAAAGTAAAAAAGTGATTTCGCGGCTTTAAACATAAAGAGGAAAAAACACGACCTTAAAATCACTCGTGACATTGACTGCATTCAACTTGACAACAATCTTATGACGTTTTCTAAACCTATCTGATGTTTAATATTCCCTTTTTAAAACAATAATTATACTTATTCAAATACGTGTTAATGTTTTAGTCTCACTTCTAGTTTTCTTTCAAAAGTATACAACCGTAAAAAGAAAAACAACTGTAAGGTCATAATTTCTTTTTTTAATTATTTTGTCTCCGTCTGGCTGGGTTTTATATATTTGAGGTCATTTGTTATTGTTTTATTATTAAACGGGTTTTGTTGGAATCCCAAAAGATTTAAAAATGTATCTAAGCCACCTGACTTCCTGATAGATGAGATGTTTCCAAGGATTTTTCCTTGTACATTTACCGTGAGTTATCACAGATCTTTCTATAAAGAAACAACAGCTTAGCTGAACTAGCTAAGGCTTAAAATTTTAAGACTTGTGTTTGAATACCAAATTGTGATATCACTTTTTACTCAAACATCACTAACCATGTCCTGTGTAAAAAGAAATCATCGTCGTCATCATCAAACGTCATCGAGATCCGTTCAGCAGTTTAGGCTACAAACACTAACATACATTAATTACATTTCATATATACATTACATAATATTAAGGGCCTGTCCCACCACTGGCTGATAGTGGCTCAGATTGGTTAACAAAAACCGATATTTCCATCACATTTTTTACATGTTGGATTGTTATCAGTTTACAATATAGTGGGACAGGCCCTAAGTGAGATTAACAAGTCTACAATTATGTATATACCATTTTGAGGCGTATTTTGTGAGATCACTGAAACGTGGCATACTAATTTTTTAGAACAAATATTAATAATCTTAGAAATAACGATATGCAAACAGTCCTTTCATTTTAAAGACTACAAAAATCTGTAATTATTTGTCTTAATCTTTCATTTAAAACCGGAAGAACTATATATTTGTTCTACAAGACGTGATTAAGGATAATGTCATTGTGATTAGGACGGTGTGATGTTGCAATAAGAGTAGCCGGTGAGTACTGTAAAGGCAGTAGTAACGGCGTTGCCCAATGCGCAGGTTGGATCGCAATTTTTGCGCCGGCGCAGACTTCGATCACGTGGCGCGGATATTGACAATTGCGTTCGTTTATTGTTGTGACTGTTAAAATGTATTTACTCGTGTTATTTTAATAAGCTCAGACAGCATCATCATCAAAATTTTGGCGGGAAAATAATTATAAAAGTAAGTTTTGGTTGTGAGAATTTTGTATTTTATTCTAACTATAATTTCCTTTTGATATTTATATTAAACCCTGGATTGTGTAGAATAATGATTGTATGAAAATCATTTGCTAAAATATGGGAAGTAATTTTTTTTGTCTCGTTTCTCACGATTTGTTGATAAGTTGATTATTTTATTTAACATTGAAAGCAACTATCATATAAATGTTTATACGTTGTTATTGTTTTTACAATATAAATTATATTTCTTAGGTTAAATAAATATTAAAATTATTTCTTTATTACTGAGACATTTTAAGGAAATCTTTTCTAAATGACTTGATCACCTTGTTTCAGATAATACATAGAGTTTATGTACATTATTTTTGTCACAATAATTGTTAAGATATTGATAATAAATTATGTGACTTTATAAACGAGTTCACTGCTGTATAATTGTCAATACTTTATTATTGTACGGACATGGGTTTTCCCCAATGGTCAGCTATATGTCAATATAAAAATGTACACAATATAATGTAAAATGATTACTTAGTCTCATGATATAGAATTAAACGTGCTATAAAACGTCAGAATACAACAAAGAGGTAAATAATAGAAGTAATGTTTTATGTATTAACAGTAAATACCCTTTACACGTATCGCACATTATGAACGCAGGAGTATGAATGTTTAACTTTCCCTCAATTTGTTTAAATCTGTATTAGCTATAGTTTAAATTAAGATAAATTGTAGACTGAATGAGGATAATTCAGAAAAATCTCGGGTCACGGCTACGTATTGGACAATCTCATTTTCCTCTAAGCTACAGCGCAAAATCAAATGTATCAGAAGTTAGAAGACCTATAGGAAAGTATCTCAATTTTACGGAATACGGAAATGTACTACATTGTATTGCCTTTTCAATATACATATAGAACAAATTTTTATTAACTTTCCTTTGTTATGAGTTACTTAGACCATACAAATTACATACTCGTACATCATATAGTTGTTACAATTAGTTCAGGAGACAGAGTCCCGATAAATTTTTTCAAAAATGTTTCTTTGTTTTTTTATTTTAACTTAACCAAGTCAAAAAGTAAACTATTGCTAATCCGACAATTATATTACGAGCTAAATCTATAACTAACATTTAAAATAAATTTTACCTTCTTTATTGTTTACTTAGGTATCCACTGCGATTCTCGTGAGTGCATTACTTTCGTAATTGATTACGTTATCAAAAGAAAATTGTTCTTATTGTATGTATTATAACCAGTCATTGAACTCTGCTTCGGCAGACGTTCAGATATCGAGAGCAGTTGAAGCAATGTTTGAATAACATTCAATGCTATGAGTGGGATCTATATTATCTACTTTGTTAATATATTCTTACACACCCTATGTTGAAACTATAAACGCATCCATCACGTTTTCATCATGCAGAATCTGTGCAGTACAAATATTATTTCTTGTCATTTTGTCAACTGTCTTATTATCTATTAGCTGTTCCCCTGCGGCTTCATCCGAATGGAATTTTGAAAATTCTATTTTATTGTTTACATTTGTCAAATTATCAAAGCAAATGTTAAAATGACATGACATGACACACCTTGGCAATCTTGCTTCCTTGATGTTGACAGCAACTTATGGTCTCTTTCCCACATTAGGGTTTTTATTCAAAATGTTTACCTCTAAGTTTAATGGCGTGAAAATATATAGCCTAAAGCATGACATAAGTGTAGGGCTTTTTATTAAAAAAAGAATTAATCAAAAATATGCTGTGTTTGCTGGCATGTTAGGCAACAAAGAAGTGTGTGTTTACGCTTTATTATAATAGTATAGATGTTAATTCATTCACTTCTTATATATGTATTCTTTCATTGCAAACGATGTGGCAAGTAATACCATACCATGGGCTACAGTATGTTCTTTTTTAAGATTCGGTCTAAATATTCATAGATAAAACCTGCTAAAATGAGACAAAAGTTTAACCATTATTTGGTGATTGAAACTATTTTCACTCAAGGAATTAGTTTGTTTTTATTGTAAATCTTAGCCTTGAAAGACTGACTAACCAAGCGGCAAAAAGCTGAAAACCTTTTACTCAGTTTCTTGCAAATCCAAGGCTAGAAATAAAAAAAAACTTTGGTTGTATTACGGTTATAGGTGCATAAAATTTGTTATCAATAAAGTAACTGCAATTTTATCATATATCGACCTTCTTTATCATATTAATACAAATAATTCTCATATCTGATTTAATCTCTCATGAAGAAACGTTAATGTAATCCAAATCCGTTAACTCAAAAATCAATTTCATCATGTAAACTTTCAACATATTTCACTAAATAGCTCTTATAATTATCAATTATTACACAAATTCCAAATATTGTTAAAATCCTAGTTTTTTCATAAAAAAAATGAGCAAACAAAACTACAATCGTTTAACTTATTTTCTTACAGACGTGACGATGTTCAAATTATCTCATCCACTACGTCTAGTGGGTCGTGTGTTCCCGATAGTGCGGTGGTCGAGGAGTTATGACCTGCGGACGGGCATCGGCGACCTAATAGCTGGTATTACAATCGCTCTAACATTAATACCACAGTCGATAGCGTACGCCTCGCTCGCCGGATTCGAGCCTCAGGTGAGAACTAATGTGATACGGACAATGTGCTAAAATTAAATTGCCATGGATGGGTGGTGGTTATGTACCAGGTGATGAAAAAACTAAATCCTTCTTTTAAAAACTATTAAAAGGACAAAAGGGAGAAATTTACCGTCAGTGAACAAACAGATTTACCCATTAATAATACTACAACCCAACACTATGATAGAATTAATAGTGACAGCTTATTTCTAACCTCATTCATTTATTAAAACTATCAACACTAATGTGTTCTGATTTTGCAAGAATAAATGCTATATTTTCCGTAATTCTGTTATGTCTTTTAAATCTGTTAACAATATGTGTATGCATGTGAGTAAAATGTTTCATTTTATATTCCAGTATGGATTATACGCTTCGTTCGCCGGCGGCTTTGTCTACGCAATAATGGGTACATGCCCTCAAATAAACATCGGGCCCACCGCTCTGCTCTCGCTACTCACGTTCACGTACACCAGCGGAACTAATCCGGACTTTGCTGTACTTTTGTGTTTTATAGGCGGCATTGTCACTTTGGTCGCTGGGATTGCGCAACTCGGTATGTTTGTAAACAAATCATCTCCTTGTATAGCCTTTACTGAGCCCATGCATTTAATTTGTAAATATCCTTCCCAACGTATTCTGCTTTTGATTTTCTAATCCGAATACTACAACCAAATCAAACTGAAGTAAATTCACCTCAAACACAGCTACTTTAATCTTTACCTTGGATTTCCTATCTCTTGTTCTCAAACTCGTATTCTTTTTAGGATTCTTAGTTGACTTCGTATCTCTGCCAGTGGTGTCTGGTTTCACATCAGCAGCGGCCATAACGATAGCTTCATCACAAATTAAGGGACTCCTCGGGCTGAAGTTCAATGCGGAATCATTTAAGGCGACGTGGGAAGGTGTTATCCATCATATTGGAGACACGCGTATGCAAGACACGCTACTTGGTCTTGCTTGTTGCATTGTGCTGATGGGAATGAAGGTAACAACTATATTATATTATATTACTTCTGATGATGGCAATGAATAATTTTTATCTCCTAAATTTCTTCGTCATTACTTACGTCCCGTCGGAAGCGAAGAGCCGGCCCTAAAATAAGGCTGTACCTTATCACATCAGATGCTGATCAAATAATGATTGAAGTCAGTGATCGAATCTATTAAAATATTTTAGCTTCTTAATAGCATGTATTTCAACAAATAACAGCGGTTATTTTCCTTTAAAACAGATGTTTTGTACAAGTAAAATAATGTAGTGTTGGTATTACGATTTGAAATCATTTGTGCGAGACGGCCTTATTTATTTAGGGTTTATTTGTCAAGGTTCAGATTTTATTTGTCACTGTGATACGACCTTGGAAAATTCAACCATATATTTCTAGTTACGTATGTTGAAAAAAAGTAAATTGTCTTTGACACAGAAAACATATTTTATTATTAACACTTGCAACTTACGGTTGGTCCCCTGACCCTAAAAGCTGTACAATAACATCTTCATTTATTTTCTTTGAGAAAAATAGACAAATTGTTTTTGAATTTATACTGTTATGTGACATTTAAAGTTTATAAAAAACATGATATAACGCGAGCATTCACTACATAATGTAAACGATCGCGGTGACAGAAAGGAAAGCAATTACAATAGTTGTAGGAAACTGTTAACACTTGCAGCGCCTTCATTATTTCTCAATTACAAAGTCGAGGCTAAGTGTAAACGTTCAGAATGTTAATAAGGCTTTGACGCCTGCATGCGTTCTCCGCTTCCGGGAATTGTTTGAATTGTTATACGTTTTCAATTGTTGTTAAAGAGACATAAGTTACATAATTGTGTTTATTTTGAAAATAATTTAAATGTTAAGATATTTTGTGTCTGCAATTCGGACTTAATGGTAATTTAGGTAACAGGAATATTCAACTTAAAAAAGCATTTCCTTTTAATTTGTTGGTATTTTTGTCAAGTCAATTAATTCGTAAATCAAACTTAACACGTATTTTACGAATCACAATAAAACGTTTCTTTATTGCATTCTGCTCTTTAGTATTGTACGCATGGTTAAATTACAGGAATTTCCAATTACAGGCAATGAAGGACATCCGTTTAAAGGAGCCAGAAGACGACAAAGGCCGTCGCAGCGCTAAAATAATTCAAAGGGCTCTATGGTTCGTGGGCGTTTCGAGGAATGCTGTAGTAGTGGTCATTGCTTCTGTCATCGCTTTCCTTGTCTATGAGGATAAAAATTTTCCTTTAATGCTTACTGGTACGCAAATACTAACGTTTTTTAATTTTAAATAAAGATGACAAAATTGTGATTAAAATATTGCGTTAGGTAATAGACAAAACAAACATTTTAATCTTACTAATATGATAAATGCGAAAGTTTAGATGGATGGATGTTTGTAGCCTAAACTGTTGGAAGGATCTCGATGAAATTTGTCATAAATGTAGAGGATAGTCTGGTAGAAGACACACGAACAAAGTCGCGGACGAAAGCCAGTCAAAAGTTATGAAAACTAAAGCCAGCCAATATTATTTAAAAATTCTTGCAATTGTTTATTGTACTTATTACCACCATTTGTATAAAATGCCTCATTGTGTATATGTGAACTTTCAGGTTCAATTACCCCGGGACTGCCGACACCTCAGTTGCCGCCCTTCCACAGCACTGTTGGTAATGCAACAGCTTCAGCAGGAGAAATGCTGGCACATCTCGGCTCAGGATTGATCGTGGTACCAGTAGTTGGTATCATATCCAATGTTGCCATCGCAAAGGCTTTTTGTGAGTAAATATAAAATTAAAAACAACATTATTACTAATTGATATTTATATAAAACATAGCTAAAGGGGAACTATTTTTAACGTAACGATAAAATTATATTCGAAACTGGTTAAGATAAGTTCCTCTTACACTTTTGCCCGCTCTTGTTAATTATTCGGGATACATAATTTCCGACGGTGATCGGTCAAGCGAAGGGCGGCCAAGGGTTACAGCAATTAAAATAATTCAAGTATCTCCTACGACTGTTGCCGGCTGTAAATTGTGTATTGTGGAAGCGTCGGTCTAATTTACATTGAAATATTTCTAAAGCATGCGAATTCTTCGAAGGAAATTACGATTTCCATGTAAATTGTGCTGCGGGGTTTGTTTTGATTACGCTTCTATGGAGGCGAGCGTTGTTATGTTCATGCCGCTGATATTAAAATCTTGAAATAATGGAATAAAGTTAGAAAATACAATGCCCAAAGGCCCGTTGGGAGTTCACTGAACCGTTATGATTATTTAAGCCTGTAATAAAGATTTTTATATTCAAACGTTTGTGCCAAATATTGTACCCCGATGACTATTTTATTCCTCGTTTTATGTCTTAACTACAAAACCTTAATATTCTACGCAGTTTTTCAACAAACAAACATTCTTACCTTTAATAAATGTACTTTACTGTACTCCTCTTCAATTCTAAACAAAGTGTAATTTAAAAAGTAGTGAAGCTTTTTCGTCTCTGTTTATCTTGATTTTTAGGTACGCCTATTCCTTTTTTTATTAACCTTGGTTTTGACAAAAAAAAAACTTTTCTTGCTACCATATTCTAAAAACAAGTTGTCCAATTACTTGAAACACGAATACAAATAATAAAAAAATATGTTATACTTCTTGTGTCGACAGTATAGATAAGAATAAAGTTATGATATATTTTCTTTCAGCCAAAGGCAAAACGTTGGACGCAACTCAAGAAATTGTCACTTTAGGAGTTTGCAACATAATAAGCGCTTTCTTCCGATCGTACCCTGTGAACGGGTCGTTTACCAGAAGCGCTGTAAGCGATGCATCGGGCGTGAGGACACCGGCGGCGGGTTTCTACACCGGTATTTATGGCTTCTTTATTTCCATTTATTCAGTCTTCATTTGTTATAATTTATTGGTTTACGTCGAGAACATTGTTCCGACATCAGCCATTACGTTGACATATTGTAAAAAAAGAATCTTTATAGAAGAAGAAAGAAATGCCAGAAATTAATGTGTTTTGAACACTAGAGGTATTGTAAATTACTTGCCACGACAATATAAAGAGAAATAAAAATATCAATAAATATGCCGATATATGACGTCATCAGAATAAAATATTGCAGTACGCATACTTTTTACTTTTTAAAATTATTTTTATACGCGGACTCATTCTGTTTCTCATTAAATCAAGTATAAAGAAGTGTTTATCTCTGCAGGTATAATTGTGCTGTTAACCTTGGCTCTGCTGACGCCGTATTTCTATTTCATCCCGCGTGCCGCGCTGTCTGCGGTCATCATATGCGCGGTACTACATATGGTTGACATCGCTATCATTAAGAAGTTATGGGCTACAAGCAGTGAGTATAAACATAATTAAAACCGTGAAATTCCCCTCGTTTGACACTTGTATTTGCAGATGTTGCCTTTGTTTTCTGATAGACGATGATATGGCCATGATTTTAAACAAGAACTGAGATATTATAATGCCGAATGATACAGTAAGAAGTGAGGATCTAGCACGAAAATATCAAGAAAGTATTCGTATTTATATCGATATTGCATAACATATATTCAGCACCCTTACCGGACTTAAAGTACACCAACAAGTCATATAGAAATGTTATCGATGGCGTTACGAAAACTTTTTCACATGTTTTCGGGGTAATCCCCAGAACTGTGACCTAAGCTTTCTAAACTAAAGACCACTTAGAATGTCGTTATTACACAATTTTATACTTTTGTTTGAAATGTTGCAATATTTTAGAAATTGTGGGATAAATGTGAAATTACAAACAATAAGAATAGCTAATGTGAGAAACTTGGTTCATAGTAATTGTATTTTACAAATATTATAGTAAAAGTTGAGAATTTTCTAATGTTGTCTTATTTAATTATTTAACACGTATTTATCTCTTTCTACTATATTTCTTTGTTGATGTTTAGGGGAAGGAAGCGTTCTAAATTGCAAATTCTTACGTCTAAGTTGGAGGCGTGCTGAAATTAACGCTACCTGCTGAAAGACTCGGCTTGATTATGTTTAGCACGATGCAATAAACGTTTAACTATTTCATGATACAGAAGTTTTTGTTTATACTTATTGAAGGACTAGCTGTTCCCGTGCGGCTTCATCCGCATGAAATTATAAAAACTTTACTTCATTGTATACATTTGTCAAACTCTCAATTAAAATGTCCAAATTACCGTTATAATAATAACCTTACTTCCTTATTGTTGACAGCTTGTAGTTTATGGTCTCTTTCCTATATGAAGATTTTTTGCAATTTTTACCCCCTAAGTTTAAAAGCGTTAAAATATATAGCCTAAAATGTGTCGTAAAATTTTATTAAAGAAAGCGTTATTCAAAAACATGCTGTGATTGCTGATGTCTTATGTCTTAAAGCAGTGTGTGTTTACGCTTCATTGTATTAGTATAGAGTATAGATAAAATCATAGAAATTTAAATAAAAGATAGATAGAGAAAATGTATGTGAATTTAAAAGTGTCATTCGAATTGTACATTCCTAAAAAGTATCCTTAAGTACGGTCTATTTGATATATTTAAATAACAATTACTAGTAACATTTTATGTAATCTTGATAATCATAAATGCAAAAGTTTGGATGGCTGGATGTTTGTTAGAGCATGTAGCCTAAACGGCTGAAAGGATCTCGATGAAATTTAACAAAGACGTAGAGCATAGTCTGGAGGAACAAATAGGATTCTTCCGTTTTTAATTCCACGCGGACTGAGTCGCGGGCGAAAGTTATCTTAGAAAACGCTGTATATTCTCCTGGCATTCGAATTAATACCATTAATGGAACACGTAAAATCAATCGTTAAAATTGATTTCATGCATCGCGCATTTAACTTGATTAAAAATAATTGAAATTACAAACGCCTCCGCATACTTTATGCAGTGCACACAACCTTTATTCCGGCAACCAACGGAGCAAGAGATTAAAGCGTAATTGTGCGCAAACATGTTAAGCAAAGTTATTACAATGTCCATTATTTTTTCGTTGTAATATAAAACAGACATCTTTTACCTTATGTTTACTAAAAAGGCTGTTTCCAAACAGTAATACATAATTGCTATTATTATGCGTTACAACTACACATGAATTTTTAAAACTGTAAAGGAAAGAAGCTAATTTAAAATTAACTAGACACAGAAGAGATCTGATGTACAGGGGAAATTATATACTAACTTTCGCCCGCGGCTATGACCGATCAGTCGTTTAAGCTACAAACATCCATCCATAGTCGGATTAGTTGATTAGTATGATTTCAATCATAGTCAATTCATAATAAAATCTGTTATTAAAATACAGTTAGGGTTAATCGCGGTGTTTCTTTACAACTTTTTAAATGTTTCAGGATTGGATCTTATACCACTGGTCGGGACGTTCATATGCGGTTTAGCTTTGGGTGTTGAAGTCGGCTTGGTTTGTGGCGTTGCTGTTGATATATTATTACTCCTCTATTATCACTCTCGTCCTCCTCTTGAAGTAGAATTAGTAGATGTAAGTACTCCTATAGTGACCAACTAAATTGAAGCAATTACCTTGTATTGGTACTAATATTCGAAATTCTTTACAGGATGGAACTATTATACCTCATTACGCAGTCCGTCCAATCGGAGGACTACATTTCGCGGGCGCTGAACGATTACGTGCAAGACTGGTGGCTCTGAAATATTCAAAGAGTTTGCAACCACAGACCATAGACACGATACATGTTACATCCGACGGCGACGAAATGCGGATCACAGTACCAAATGGCATCAGCGGGACTATTGTAAAACCATTAAAAGTATTAGTTATACATTGTGACGCTCTATCAAGGATGGACTACACATTCCTAGAGGTATGTACTTTTGCTGAATTTTTAAAAAAGGACAAAGATTAACAAAAGGCCGAAGTTGGTGTATAAAACCTAAATGCTTGTGTCATAGAGTATGAAGATGCTGGTATCAGACTGGTCACGCGAGGGCTGCGTGATCTGGTGCGACGCGAAGCCCGCGGTACAGGAACAGTTAAATACGGTACTACAGCAGCCCATATTCTGCAGTTTGGATCAACTCAGTACGATATTAACAAGTAAGTTCAAACATATTCGAAATCCATCACAGCGAGGGGTTTCACATAAAAGACTGATGATATAATCAAAGTTGTCAAAACCTACTGAATAATGGTGTAATAGGCAGAAGGGATTCCACTTCGTTTTTTAAGATTGCAGAGACGATCTTCCTAATATGATTAATGCGAAAGTTTAGAAGGATGGAGTTTGTTAGACCGCCTAAACGGCGAAATAGATCTCGATGAAATTTGGCATAAATGTAAAGTCTGGAAGAACATATAGGCTACTGACTTTTCTGGAGTCGCGAGCTAAAGGCAGTGTTTAATAATAATTTTATATTGTTACAGGAAATTTCGCGATAGATACACAAGTGAACAATATTTGCAGTGATACACCGTTATGAGATCGGTAATACGTTCCTAAAGATTCACGGTTTAATAAACTTCAATGTCATCTTGTTAATGACTTAGGGTGTGTCCGACCAAATTGTAATTTGTCTGAAAACAATTGAACGTGTAAAATGTGTGATGGAAATGTCGGATTTTGTTCCATTATCTGACAGTGATGTAATTTGTAAGCTACCTGAGAATCTATCAGCCACTGGTGGGACAGGCCTGTATACATTTAAATACCTTACTAGTTAACTGTTGAACATACACGTTTTAGAGTAATTTTGAGGTACTTTAGCTCAAACTATGACGTATTAACTTTCCTAATATTCTATCAAGGCACTTGTAAATGAGATTTCCATAAAATACACTACTCAAGCAACGTGTAAAGATATTCTATTTATAAAAAATTTCACAGACAATTTTTGTAATAAATTTTGTCTTCAATAAGTCGAGGGAAATAAGGCAATAACAAACAATAACATTATTGAGGTGAACTCAAGTAAAAAGATTGGATTTATACATTTAGAATCGATGTACAAGTATTAGATAAAGCACTTCAAAATCGATTCCATTAATAGTATAGTTTGTTTCACGATTTTATTGCATTAAAAATAATGATCATCCATATATTATTTTTTATATATATACATGTTTCTAATTTTGATTTGGTTATTTTCAATTTATTTTAGATTTATTTAAGTTATCACAATGTTAGTTTGTAAATAGCATATTTTAAAGTACAATAACGTATTATTTATTATTTAGCTTAGCATCTAAACCAGTACATTGAATGTATGTAATTGGCTGTACTGTATGTATATATTTCGTTTTTTAGATTATAAGATCGTTTTGTATACCTGTTTTGACCTCCAAGTGACTGCATTGTTGTAAATAAACATACTATTGTAATAAGTATTAAATAAAGATCTGGTTTGCTTAAAGCTTTTAAACTAACTAAATAACCCAAAAACTGACAGATTTCAATAATTTTTACACCATTAAAATACTAAGTTATAACGGAGTATTTTTTTTATTTCACGCGGGCGAAGTCGTGGGCTACAGCTAGTTATCTTATAAAGAAAATACAATATACTTTGTGTAGTACCAAATACTTTCCAGCAATAAAAATTAAATGAACTCCCTATTATAAAAGTTTTATGAACTCAATCAAGTGTACGGTAATTTACAGCGACATTATACTTTTAATTTTTCATCGTTTGAAAATAGATTGTTTCATTATGAAATTTGCATTATGTACTTTATACCCGCAACTTCGCCTGCGGGAAATTAAAAAAAAAACAAGAGTAGCCTGTGTGTTCTTGCAGACTATCCTCCACATCTATGACAAATTTCTTCGAAATCCTCTCAGCCGTTTAGTCTACTAGCTCTTAACATATATCCATCCATCCATCTAACTTTCACATTTACAATATTAGTATGATAAAATGCGATTAAAATAACTTCAGAGAGTTATGTATAGTGCTTTGTATACTTTTTATCACTTAGGTAAAGTATGTGATAATATTTAAATGGTTATAAATCAACGGTCAATAACTTTCTATTAGACAATTTTATTATTATTTTATCACCTATAAAAAGAACATGAAATTGATTACACAACGTTTTATTATTATCCAGTTTTTTCCTGTGTCAAAGTATTAAAAACAAAAATGTAAAAACGAGGCAACATCAGATCAGTTATAAAAATCTGAAAATAATTGGACACTTGATACGACACGACATTTTCTTATTAAACATCTTGGCGGGGAAAATTTAAGAAAAATGGAAACGACGGTACAAATTGTTGCTAAACAAAGAATTCATAAAAGTTAATTTTAGTTTCGTTTATAATTACGATTAAAATAAATAGAATAAAAACTTTTAGTACAGACTTTTAACTAAATACATATAATTCTCGAAAGACATTCTTGACATCATTATCACCAGTTCACTATATGTCCCCACTGTGGGACTCGGAGTCTTCACTAATTTAGGTTGACATAGTCAACCACGCTGGCCAAGTGCGGGTTGGTTGACTTTACACATATCTTTGAATTTCGTCATCGATATGTGCAGGTTGCACGTTGGGCACGATGTTTTCCTTCACAGTAAGAACGTCGGGTAAATTATGTACATAAGAAATTCGAAAAATCGAAATTCACATTGGTACATGGCGGGATTCGAACTCAAGACCTGTGGATTACAAGTCAAGTGCTCAAACCCCTGAGCCACCGACGCTCCTTTTATTATGAAAATGCTTTTTGTTACTTTACAAATGTTCTTGTAACCAGGATAATAGTCGAAACGTGTGATTCGAACCCAATATAGTCCGTACCTTTAACTACTAAGCTAATATGGCTTCATGGTAGTTAAAAATTTCGTAATACATGTATCCGTCAGATGAATATCTTTCTCATTCCAGTGACTGGTGTTTATAAATGCAACAATATTTGTCAGTTGAGATTTTATGTCTCAAGATAAAGTCTTGTTTTATTTGGCCTCAGTAAAAGCTTAGCTGGCTCGCATCGTATGAGAGCTTTCGTAAGTGGCACATGTTCAACGAACGTGCTTATCTTTGCATATTTTTGTTCTATTAATAAAATATCACACTTTTTAATATTTTAAAAACAGAGATTGTAAACATTTTTCAAACAGATTTCATAGAGTAACTAGAAAAAAAAATCTGGTAACATATGGAAGATGATCAATATGTAATAAGTTTTAACTTCTTAAATTGAATACATTTTTTTAATTTAAAAAACCCTTAAAAACATGGACTCTATTCTTTTTATAATCATACTAATATTCTAAACGCGAAAGTTTAGATGGATGGATAGATGTTTGTAAGTGTTCGGTACAGATCTTGCGGGTTCAGGAATTTCGTGGTCTGAATTATGCGATTTTTATTTCTCCCGCACGGGCTGGTAGATGGAAATCCCTCTTCAGTACAGTAGTTTACAATATTATGCCCTCCTGTGTAGTTTAAGGGTAGGTTGTGCCGCGGGACCCGAACCCGTTTGTAGGGCACAGTTAATTTATAGTCTAAACGGTTGAACGGATGTGAATGAAATTTAGCACAGATGTAGAATAGTCTTAGATGGATAATTTTTTAATTCCACGGAGACGTAGTCGCGGACAAAAAATCGTAGATAATATAAATGGTGAAGTAAAAGCATGACATTAATTCATAGTTAACAAGAAACAAAATTTTGATACAGTAATTGTGTTGGAATCCTGAATTCATAATTTAGAACTTATACCATTCATACGTGACTAATTCCCAATAACCAATTTAATAGATAGTGATATCTAAAATTAACGATCATTATTACAGCAGTATGTAAATTTAATCTATGTTCCAAGCGTATGTGTCTAAAGTAAACAAATTTGCTTTCACACAAAAGGCACGAATTCTAAATAACAACATTAGTTAAAATTGCTTTTTAATATGATTCAGTGATGAAATAATTTGTTAAAAAAGCTGATGTAATTGTTTATTTAGTTTAAAAATCTAGTTTACGCTTTAATCGAAGGACATCCATGATTTATTCGCTAAAAGCAGATTGTTTTTTAAAATATTCAAATATTTTTTATGATTTTGTTTTTTTAAAAATTAAATCGTTATATTAGTGTTTTCTTATCGAATCTCTATTTAACGTTTCACATCGTAGAACAGCTATTACTGATACGTTTACATGCTATTACGTGAAAATAGCAAAAGGGGAAAATGCACGCGAGTAGCGTCGTTTCCGGACACTTCACTCGACGACGCCAACACTTCAGGTTAACGACTTGTTTTTTTTTAACAAAAAAGATGCAAAAGAGAATAGTGAGAAATTGCTATAATCATCGCGTTGATGCTTTGATTTAAAAAAAAAATATTTGTGAGACATTGTCATTGCAAAAATTGAAAGGCTGTTCTCAGACAAAATATGATTATAAATCATTATTACACAGAGTAGTAATGTAAAATAGAGAATAAAATTAGAGAATTAAGATATTAATTCAAAAGTTATGTTTTATTTTTTCTGCCACTACTGTTTTACAAATTTAAAATATATTAACAAAGGTTAACTACTTTGCCTAATTTAAAGGAATAACACATAAAAAAATTTAAAAAAACATACGGACGACTTGATTACCTCTTTCTTTTGGGAAGTCGGTCAAAAATAGACACATTTCTGAATAAGGGCACGCTTTTACCCTTCATGTATAGTACTCGTATAAGCGTACTTTTATTCCTATTACAGGTGGTTCAGCTTTAAACTAATTCCAAATTTAAATCCATCTTAAATGATTTGAATTATCGAAATGTAAAATTTCAATTAACAAGATTGTCGTTATTTATCAAAGGGCACAGTTAGCGTTCCCTCAAGGCTGTGCTAAAGGTCCAAGCGGACGATTAATGATAATTACGTCTACCTAAATCTATTAAACCATTAAATGCTTTGGAAGGTTTAACATTAGCGAACAGTTTCTAACTTCAAACCGTGCAGCAAACAAATTAACATTCATTTAGTTAATTTATCGTTTTACTTTATCCTTAACGGTTTTATCTTTTCTGTATTAGATTTTTTAGAAAAGATACTTGAAAATAATTACTTAATTTTTTTTTTCACTGTTTCTATAATAATGTCTTTTTTAATAGCTCGTCGATTTCAGAATAAGGTTACTGCCAGATAAAAATATCAAGTAAATCGGGACAGTATGATTTTTTGTTGTAGATTGATTTACTTTCTTACCTCCTTAAAAATAAAATCATCATTTTGATTTAACAAATTCTATTTTTATACTTTTGTATAAAACTTAAATATCTTAAATGCTAGGAATATCACAATGTTTTTACAGTAATTTGTACTATAATGTTATTTTGAAATGTTTACAAAAATGCGCCCCATCCAATATACATTTGACAGAGATTCTGAACGCTGGTGGCCTCCACAATTAGATGTTCCACTTGCCCTTCGGGAGACAAAGATAGAGTCAGTTTCTTATTTTTTGTTCGCACCTGTTGACAAAATATATCACATACATTAATTTTACGTGTACACTGGTGCAGTTTGAATAATTAGCCAAACTAACATGGTTAACACGATCCGGCTCGAAGGACCAGTATACAAAACACTACTCAATACCTTTTAGATATCTTAAATTGAAGAAAACGCCGAAAATGTCCTTCAATATACTAAATAATATACTATTTAAACAATATAATAATTATTAAGGCCACGTTTAAATGTCATCAATAATTTTTTAATGTACAGGATTTGAAAAACGAACAAGAACTAGTAAATAAAGCGTTAAGAATGCATGTGTTATGTTTAAGATTCGTTAAAGTCAAAGAGATCCAAAAAATATAGGCATAGTTGACACTTCAAACATTTTTTACATAATCTTATTAACGCTACCTGGTATGCGATAGTCAAAATCACAAACAAAAATTCAAACAATGTAAAAAGGGCAAACACACACTTCTTTGTTGCCTAAGGTGTCAGCAATTACAACACATTTTCGAATAACTCTTTTTTTAATAAAAAGCCATACACTTACGTCACGCTTTAGGCTATATATTTTCACGCCGTTAAACTTAGGGGTAAATATTTTGTATAAAAATGTGGGAAAGAGACCCTAAGTTGCTTCCAACATCAAGGAAGCAAGGTTGCCATGGTTTGACATCATGTCATATCATATGACATTTGCAATTGATGATTTGACACATGTAAACAATAAAATGTTTTTTTTAAAATTTCATGCGGATGAAGTCGTATGGGAACAGGTAGTTGTATATATTTCTTAAATGTCTGCTTTGAGTATTCTTTGTCTTTGGTTTTTTAGGTTTGTAAGAGTAATCTTACCATTCCATTGAGTCGTTGTCGTATATGAGCTAAGTGCTGCAGCGCCTCTGTGTTGGTCCGCTCGGCGCAGTCGTGTCGCGCGCGGCCCCACGCCACCAGAGGGTCGTAAACAAACGGACCCACTACCGACATCAGGGCTGCAGTTTGTGCACGCAGCACGCGCATCACTACCTCACAACACTTCCTAATTACAAGAAAATGATTTAAATTTTAAATATGCGAGCTTCCTATGCCAATAAATTGTAAACACACTTCTCTGTTATATAGAAGCTTTTGCCCGCGATTCCGTCCGCGTAGAGTTAAAAATAACAAAAGTTAGTAAGCCTTTGTGGTCTCCAGACTATTTTACATCTATGCCAAATTTCATTGAGATCCGTTCAGCCGTTTAGGCTACAAACTCTAACAAACATCTAAAGTTTCGCATTTATAATATTAGTAAAATGTAACTAGTAGTGAGGTAGCTATTTATTGGTGAAAGAATTTATTACATCATATATCACATTACATTTTAATGACTCTATTTTATAATAAGAGACTTACACTTACGACACGATTCAGGGTTATACATTTTAACGTTATTTAATTTAGAGGGGTGAAAAATTTGAAAAATCGTCATGCGAGAAAGGATCAAAACTAATAAGCTAATAGCATCAAAGAAGCATTATGTTAACGCTATTTTTTTTTCGAAGGCAAAGATTTCGTTTACAATCAAGCAAAAATGTCTACATTTGCAAATGGCAGGTTTACGTCTATACTAATATACAGGAAAGAGTTGAATTTTTGTATGTATTGAAATAACTTAAAAACTGATTCGATTTCAAAAATTCTTTTACCAATTAAAAGCTACATTACCCTTAGTAACATTGGCTATGTTTTTTTATTGTTTCAAATTCAGTGGAATAGTGAATAATAAAATACCTGAACATGCCCTCGTGCGCGAGCGGGCCCATAGCTGCGCGCATGTTGTGTGTGAGGCGGAAGGGCACGCGCTCGGGCCACTCGAACGTCTCCCCCTTGTTGAATAAGCAGTTGAAGTCCACATGCACCGTGTCGCCGTTACGAGAGTCGAACGATATATTCTCACCGTGACGGTCGCCCAAACCTAACACGTAATCACCATGACTATTGCGTACCCAAGACCAAATTAAAGTTCCTTTTCTTACCATCCTTTTCTTATAGGGAAAAGATGGGATGGGAAAGTGGATTTATCGGTGGAGCATCTGAAGGGGAAACCTCTCAATTTGCGTCCCCTCTAACTAAGGGTAGGCAACACATCTGCAATTGCGAATGTCTATAGGGAGCGGTCGTTTCGTCATTTTGGCGAATGTATGTAGCCGTTTGCTCGTTTTACTTCCATTGATAGTCCAGTTTTGAACGCTATTGACCAAGTTTACTGGCCAAGTTTGAACCGCGCATAATGTATGTAATGCACTGCCATAATGTAAACACCAACTAGTGTCATCCTACCACTATCCATATCAATCCTGAACAATTCTTCCATTATATTAGTATAATTAAAAGCGTCAGTGGCTCAGTGATTTGATCACTTGACTTGTAATCTACAGGTCTTGGGTTCGAATCCCGCCATGTACCAATGTGATTTTCGATTTTTCGAATTTTCATATGTACATAATTTACCCGACGTTCTTACGGTGAAGGAAAACATCGTGATGCAACCTGCACATATCCGCGAAGAAATTCAAAGATATGTGTGAAGTCAACCAACCCGCACTTGGCCAGCGTGGTTGACTATGGCCTAGTCACCCCATATTAGGGTAGGCTCCGAGCTCCTCGGTGGGGACGTATAGTGAGCTGGTGATGATGATGATGATGAATTAAAAGCGATACCAGTAAAGTAGACTAGTAGTGCTCGCAATCGGCGCTAGAATGACAAAATATATACACTAAACAAATTTGATTTTCTTTATTTGAAAATCACCTGTTTCAGTTTTCTTTACCTTTTTTAAAAATGTAGTTAATAGGAATTGGTTCATAATAAGTACTGACCTAATATGTATCCCACCATTGACATAACAGCAGTTGTACGTATATACGCCGATCTAGCTTGATACCTAAAATATGGAAATAAATTTTCTATATAAGAGTATTAAATTTACTTAGTTGTGTATTCCTTTTTGGCAAAGTTCTACATATAGCACTTTTAAAACGAGACTATATTTGCCCTTTTTTCGTTATTTTTTGCATATATTTTAACTAGCTTTCACCCGCGACTCCGTCCTTGCGAATTAAAAAACACTTTGTAAGTGGCATATGTATTCTATGTAATCTTGTATGTTTGTATGTATGTATGTATGTATGTATGTATGTATGTATGTATGTATGTATGTATATTCTTCTAGATTATTCTACATCTGTACCTTTCATCGAGATTCGTTGAGGAGTTTAGGCTACAAACTCTAACATGCATGCATCCAAACTTTCGCATTTATAATAATGTGAGATACTAACCATCCATAAGGATCAGAGAAGACTCGTCTGAACCACTCCTGGAAGACTGGAGGATGTTTCTTCATCAGATGTTGTTCAAATATCCGTCGCATTTTTTCCAAAGGGTCGTTTTTAGAACACATTAATTCTTTCAACTCTCTATTTGTAGTATGAATTCCTGTACAAAAAAATAATAATTATATAAACATTTTGCAACAGTTTACTATATTATTCAGTGGAAATGGGGCTAGAGTTATTTAAGTTTTTAATTTTGGTTTTAAAATGCAAAAATACATTTTTTCTTTACTCTCAAAAAATATTACAGTTTTACAATTTATTAACTAATCATAATCTATACTAATATTATAAATGTGAAAGTTTGGATGGATGGATGGATAGATGGATGGATGTTTGTTAGAGTTTGTAGCCTAAACGACTGAATAGATTTTGATGAAATTTGTTACAGATATAGATGATAGTCTGGAAGAACACATAGGCTACTTACTTTTGTTTTTTTAATTCCACGCGGACGGAGTCGCGGTCGATAGCTAGTAATATTATAAATGCAAAAGGATGGATGGATGTTAGAATTTGTAGCCTTAACTGCTGAACGGATTACGATTAAATGTGGCATAGACGTAAACTCTGGAAGAACACATTCTCACTTTTGTTTTTTTAATTCCATGCTTTGTAGTCTCGGGAGAAGACTACTGCTAAATATAAGATTTGTAGAAGGGGTTACCTTTCTGTTTGTATATATGCAGCAGTATGGGCCTGAGGCCGAGCAGGTGCGGCACCCACTGGATGAGGCCGCACTCCTCGTTGAGCGGCAGCACGCAGTACGTGCGGATGTAGAGCCGCCGCCGCCGCGAGCTCGCCGCGTCCTGCAGGAAGCGGTTCACCACGCCGTTGAACTCCATCAGACGGAAGTCCTTGCGGAGATCGTCGCGCGACTTTAGTAGGATTATGTACGATTTACCGTCGGAGCCTATAAATGTTGCAAGAAATGGAAAACTCCTTGTCTGTACTTCTATACTAATAATATAAAGAGGAAAGATTTTTGTATTTTTGTATGTATTTAAATAACTCAAAAACTATTCGGCCGATTATAAAATTTCTAACACCGTTAGAAAGGTAATTTATCTGTGAGAAACATAGGTTATATTTTTTACTTTCACGCGATCAAAGTTAAGAGCAACTGGTAGTTTCTTATACATAGAATTACTTATCGCTCGGTGTAGGTTTTTCTATATTTTAGTTGCAAAAATATTCTGATTACAGTGACTTTATGAATAACTAGCTGTTGCTCGCGACTTCGTCTGCATGACATTAAAAAAATGATAACAACGTAACAACGTAGCTTTTTAAAGGTGATAACATAGTTTTTGAGTCATTTCAATACATACAAAATACAAATCTTTCTCTTTATAATATTAAGATAGATGACATTGTTTAAGTATATTTAAACGCTACTTAAAATTTAAAAATAAGCTGTTATGATAATGCAAATAAACTATTGTTAATTATTATGTCCTTTTTAATAGTAATAATACTAATACTAACATTATAAATGCGAAAGTTTGGATGAAATTTGTTTGAAATTTGGTTTGATGAAATTAGTATGAAAGAACACATAGGCTACTTTTTTTGTTAAGAATATGCTTATTTGAATCACAACTACAACAAACTAACCTTTTAAAGTGACTTTTCTCGGTTTTTGTAACGAGGGCAGTATCTGTATGTCTTCTTCGATCCCCGCGATGTACACTGCCGGTTCCTTAGGCATATTGAAGTCGATCCTCTCTTGGCGCGCCGCCTTGGACGGCAGCACTATCTTACAGAACTCCTCGAACGGTATCATTATACGACTGAAGTTGTCACTGGTTAATAAACGAGGTAATGTGCGGACTAGTGATGATACTGTTGGCTTCTGTAATAAATGTGCAAATGACTAAAGTACCAGAACCGTGCTAACTAAATATCAAAGCCTGCCTGCATAATTACAGGCATGAGTTGTATTTTTATTTCGTAGTTCGGTGATATACTGACATTCGTTACTTTGTTATTCTTAAAAATAAACTAAAACCATTTACGAAATTAAAACGTTTGTTTTAAAACAAATCTTAAGAACTGTTTAAATTCAAAGACATATAATCCTTTAATTGACTTCAGTTTCATGATAGTTTATCACACTATGTTATGACACACTTATTTTTTTTCTTTATTTTTAATTTATTATACATTTTTTTTTAATATTAAACCACTTTTCAGCAGCCTAATGATCACGGAAACCACCGGATTTTAATGACAATTTACGATTCAAATCCGCTATTCTTTATATAAACTAAGCCAAGCCAAGCGCAAGCCCGTAGATTAATTGTATTGGTACACGAAAAATTAGCTAGAAAACAATATTAAGTTGATACTAACGGTATTATTGGTCGGTATCGGTTTATTGCACAACTCAATCAGTTTCTCAGCGAACTGATTGAAATCTGCAAGCAGTTTGATCATATGGGGTTCCTTGAGGCGCGTGTCCGCGAGCAGGTCGGCGCAGCGCCGCACGCGCTGCGGGTAGCTGGACTTTATCACACACATCATCATCCAGAGCGTGTGCTGAGGGTACGCTAGGATCAGCTTCACTATTATTGCTTTCAGTTGTAAATATACCTTGGAATAAAAATAAAAGCTATAAAGGCAACACTATAGTTTATCTATACTATTATAATAAAGCGTAAACACACACTTCTTTGTTGTCTAAGATGTCAGCCATCACAGCATATTTTCGAATAACTCTTTTTATATACATGCTATACATTTTCACGCCGTTAAACATAGGGGTGAATATTTTGGATAAAAACCCTAATGTGGGAAAGAGACCATAAGTTGTTGCCAACATCAAGGAAGCAAGGTTGCCATGCTTTGACGTCATATCATATCATTTTGACATTTGCAATTGATAATTTGACAAATGTGAACAAAAAATGAAATTTTTAAATTTTATGCGGATGAAGTCGCATAGGAACAGCTAGTATCTAAATAAGATTGATTTGTTTGATTTCACGCATAAAAAAGATCTAATAAAGTTTGTATGTATGTTAAATGCTGTATTAATAGACGGATATCATAGTGATGGAACATAAGCTCAAACCGATTAACTGTAAACTATCGATATTCGATAGAATTATAAAAAATATTAAACTTAACTTATTATTTACCTATTAATTTAATTAAGGGATGGTTCTAGTAGTGAATATAGTGATAACGATGACAATAACATTAACGAATTCCACTTAGATTATGCTCGACTGTATTAGTAACAAATATCTGTTAACGCTCATTCTTTGTATATGTTCTGTATTTTTATTATTAATTAGATTTTGAATAACCTTAAAATAATAGGCACAAAAAGTACTGGTACGATTTTAAAAATCCTTTTACCGTTAGAAAGGTAATTTATTTGTGAGAAACATAGGTTATATTTTACTGTTACTAATGTTGATTACTACTAGGTGGTAAGTGAATACTTTAGGTGATAGGTTGAAAAAGGTGGCGAAAGTAAGTGCTGATCTTTTAAACGCGGACGAAGTCGTAGGCAACCATAGCAAATAAAATACAAACGTATAAAAACCTCTTTAACAGGATGACATATCCTAGATACGATTTGCGAGAAAGCAGTCAGATATAAATATATGGGCAGCCTTTCTGAGTACGTCTTAATGATCTCCGTCATCTGCGCCAGCACTGAGTGCGTGCCTGTGTCCGCTGACGTCACTTCCATATCCAACCTGACGTGTAAATTAAAACTAAATCGCACTCAGAATAATAACAGTTGTTACATTGCTTTAGTATATAATTCTCATACTAAACCTTTATTAAAAAACAAAATAAAGTATATATGACAGTAAATCTAGATTAAGAGATGCCATGGAGATTCCAGTCAATAATTACTTTTTTTTTATAAGAGAAGGGGGCAAACGAGCGGCGGGAACACAAAGGTGGTCAACGACGCCCATGGACATCCGCAACACCAGAGGAACTACAGATGCGTTGCCGGCCTTTGAGGAAATTGTAGGCTCGCTTCTTGAGCCCTAAGGGATTAATAACTAGCCCTACAATTAGTCCCTTAGGGAGTCCTTTAGCATAGATTTAGTCTAAAAATCTACACTAAGGGTCTCCACTTGACAAGTCTGAATAAGGCTTTGAGTGAAAGTTTACATGTATGGATATCGATAAAATTTAAGACAGATATACAACATAGTCTGGAAGAAGACATAGGCTTCTTTTTTTAAACTACGCGGACATAGTTGCGGGCAAAAGTTATACAATATTTAAGATGCATACCATATAGAGAGCATTCTAGGCATACTTTGGTATAGATATTTATGTCCGTATTGCAGCGCTTTTCCATAAGAATTAAGTGCTTGGATACGACGCGACCACGTCATACTGTTCGGTGTTGTGTCGTTACTGGTTACTTTCTCGTAATAAGCTCCCAAACAAACCTATAAAGAAAACAAAACCTTTGAAAAAGTTCAATGTCTCCTTCAGTTTCAACACCTCTCGTTTATAACTAAAGCTTAACGCCTCACATTTTACTGGCAATTTTAGAAATTATGGTTAAATCTTACTAATATTATAAATGCGAAAGTTGAGATGGATGTTTGTTAGCTTACCGCCTAAATGGTTGAACGGATCTCGATGAAATTTGGCATAGATGTCTGGAAGGAGATATGGGCTACTTACTTTCTTGTTGTCATGTCTTGTTTTTTTTTAATACCACTAAGGCGGTGTCACGCACAAAAGTATTAAATAATGGAGCCTAATAAGTAGATGGCGCTACGTTCGGGACGTTTTATTAACAAGCATTGATACGTTAGTTAGATAGTTTTAATCTAGACTACGTTTTAAAATTGTGATATTAACTTACCAAGCTCTTCTCCCATTGCTTGAACTCTTCGACTGACTCCTTGTAATATCCAATATTCACATCTACATCTACGTTGGTCGTCTCGTCATTATACTTCGCTATCAAAAGTTTCGCCTTTGCGCAGATTTTTCTAAAAATAACAAATATTACTCTAGCACTCGGAACCATTAAGAACAACTTTATGCACTACAGGTAATGTTAAAATAATTTTCAAGTAAAAGTAACTCCACATCAAGCACACTTGTCCACGCCCACGAACACTCTAAAGTACACGCCCACGATTTATCTAAAGTCCATGTCCACGAACACTCTAAAAACATGCTCACGAACACTCCAAAGTACATCCCAACGAACACTCTAAAGTACACGCCCACGAACACTCTAAAATACATGCTCACGAACACTCTTAAGTACATGACCACAAATACTCTACTCTACGTGTACTAACACGTCCAAAAACACTCCGAAGCGCACGCCCACAAACATTGTAAAGCACACGCCCACGAATACTCTAAAATACACGCCCACGAACACTCTAAGCCCCTCCGACGCCCATAAACACGCAAAATTTCAGCCTAGGTAATATATTCTTCAAGGTAATAAATTCTTAAACAATTTAATCAACCTTTGTTCTTGTGTAAGTATTTCTATCTGCGGATATGTCTCGTCCAGTCCGCGGCGCAGCGTCGTGAACGCGTGCTCTTGCTGCCCGCGAGACCAGTACATCTTTGACTTCTCTATGAATAACTCTTCAGGGTGATACTCCTCAGCATTCAGGATATACATGTAAGACTGAAAATATAATGAAAATACATTTCTAAATATGTACAGTATGTAAAAAATATCAGAAGTTAGATCGTTTCTTACCTGTTGGTATATCCCAGCCTTTCGAGCATGTTTAGCACTCTGCAGCCAGAGGTCACCAATACTGGCTTTTAAGCGATTTGACGTCATAGGATGTGTCGGTTCTAATAATTCCTGTATGTAAAAATTACAGTAGTTGTCAGATATCTTGACGGCTCTAACATAGCATAATTCACTGCATCGAATACATTAGGTGTAGGTAGATAAGGGAATGCGAGACACAATGCATAGCGCCGATAACATTGTACCGCCAAGACATTTGCAAAACCTATACTATCTTGTATAAAGAATCTTATAAAAAACGAGCTTTTTATTGAAAAAAACCAAAATCAAAATTGCAATCTTCTTTCATATTAGTCTCAAGTTAATCTCTTTGCATGTTTTTTAAAAACTACATTTTTGACTGATTATATTTAATTAAAAAAAAATATATACTATAGTAATATTACTTGTGTTTGCTGCAATAATATCCTCCTAAGTCTGAGCAGGGGCTCCACAGTGCGCACGTCGGACTGCACGAGCGCGAGGCGACGTCGCCACTCCTCTAACAGCTGACTTAGTATCGCCTCGCCTTCTCTGTCACCATCCCTTAAATTCTTCAATCTGAAAAATAGTCAGTAAAACCAAATTAATACAACACTGAATTAGTCGTAGTACCGGAACATTTGCAAAAACAAGAAATTTATCTGAGCTCTCTGAAGATATATAGCAAAATGTTTTCATTTAAAAATATACCATGTATATCTTGTATTTCAGTTTATATTCTGTTTCCATTGGCTGCATTGATCATAAAGCAATGTTTCGAATTGAAAAAAATACTTTCCTAGTTACTTAAGCAGTTCCTTAGTATTTACTTACATATCCTATATATATACTAACTTACATATCCTTAGAACAGACTAATTTAGCTAAAGTTGCCTAAATGATGGATGGACATTTGTTACAGTTTGTAGCCTAATCTGCTGAACGGATTTCGATGAAATTTGGCATAGACGTAGAGGATAACCTGGAAGAACACCTAGGATACTTACTTCGTTTTATTTCCACGCGGTCGGAGTCAGAGGCGAAACCTAGTTTTATTCTAATTTCTTTGTTTTAGCTTACCTACAAAGAACTTCTTCAGCATGTTCCGCTTCTTTAACGATATGCAATCCAAGTACACTCTGATAGCCATTTCTTAAGGCACTTTCTCCTCTACTCTTCCCATCCATTTGTGATAGTAATTTGCTTGTAGCGTCCTTACACGATACTATGAAGGCATCGTGATCTTGCTTTCGATACGCTAATAACACTCGACCCATTAAAAGACCCCAGTTTTCACGAGATGGAGGCTGCAAATATTTGTCTATTTATAAAAAATTGAAAAATGATATCGTACTTTAGATTATCACTAGCTGTTGCCATGCGGCTTCATCCGCATGGAATTATAAAATCTTTATTTTATTGTTTACATGTGTCAAATTATCAATTGCAAATGTCAAAATGACATGACGTGATAACAAAGCATGGCAACCTTGCTTCCTTGATGTTGGCAGCAACTTTTGGTCTCTTTCCCACATTATGGTTTTTATCCAAAATATTTACCCCCAAAGTTTAATTGCGTGAAAATATATAGCCTGAAGCGTGGCGTAAGTGTAGGGCTTTTTATTAAAAAAAGAACTTGTCAAAAATATGCTGTAATTGCTGACATCTTAGGCAACAAAGAAATGTGTGTTTACGCTTTATTATAATAAGTATAGATTAAGTTCTTAGTCTTGTTTTATTAAGTTCTACTTACGATTAGATTTAGGCAATAAATATTTTTAATTATGGTTAGATGATTGGAAAAAATGCTATGCTAGAAAGGGGCAAAACTACAAGTCAATAGCAGGTAAGATGCACGTCTGTGATGATGGCGGAAATTTTTAGCCAATATCATAGGCCGTCGTTGTCATTTGTGCATTTGAATTTTGACTGCAATTGTAAACAAATGTAAAAAAATAAAATAAAATCTTCATAATGCGGAAGATGCACGTGTCCAGATAATCTATACATATAATAAAATTAGATTGTCTGTAATTTCAAAAGGAAAATTTCAGATTTCGAGAAGATGAATTTGCGTTGCTGATAACGAAAATCGCATTTAGAAATGTTTTGTCAGTCTGTCAGTCTATCCGCAAGCTGCATTTGTTGCGGATAATCTCCGAAACGTCTGGGCCGACCGGACTTTCACTGGAGGGTAGCTAACAAAAATGGGCATATTATAGGCTACTGTTTTTTACTAATATAGCGTAGATAAAGTCGTACTGTCACTTACAACAGGTTTGTGAGCGAGTCGATCTAATTCGTCGAAGCGTCCGAGCCTCCAGAGCGGCTCCGCAGCCAGCTCCGTCATGTCGTCGGAGTCGCGCTCGCTCAGCAGACGGTGCGCGGTGAATGGCTGGTCCAGGCTCAGGTAGCAGTCTATCATACCCTGGGACACATAATATTATACTGAAATACATAGAAAACAATATAGTTACACAAAACTTATATAAGTTAAAGAGAGTCAAAATGTATACAGTCAGAACATGTACGCTCTCTCGCTACTAGGCCCATACAATCTGGGTGTCGGTGGGGCCAAGGCTGGCTGGCATAGATAAAAACCTTATTTATACAATACAATTCT